TGCAGCCCCGAGAAGCGTCTGGTAGTGTGACCCCGGCCTTGTGCTGGGTGTGTATGGACTGTAGATCCTTATAGAGGGGTCACCTCCACTCCCACCAAGGGGGACAGAAATATATGACTGCTCGGGGGGAGGGATTTTGGCCTCCTTTGATTTTGCAGTAACATTGATTGCAGATTTAGTCCTGTAGAACATCTGGTATATGGATACAAAGCCCCCCAGCCGGAGTAAAGGCTGGAGAGTGATTGAAGTAGATGCAAAGTGGAAGCGGTGGACTTGCAGAGAACACTATACCGAGCACACAATATTGTCTGTCTCCTGGATTTGCACAGGATTTGAGATGATTTCCTATAGCAGCAAATCTGATGAGATGAATGAAGTGGGTGTAAAGTGGAAGCAGTGGATGTGCAGGGAGCAGCATCTTGAGCACAAAGCACTTATGTTGTGGATGGATTTGCACACGGTTCAGTTTCCTTCATTTATTGATAAACCCCATAAGACCAATGAAGTGGGTGTAAAGTGGAAGCAGTGGATGTGCAGAGAATAGGATTTGGAGCCCCGAGCTCTTTATCTCTGAATGTCTCCACATATTTGTAGTGTATTTGTGATGATTTCTGTGCACACACAATAGGACACGTCTGTGCGCTGTGACACATAATGCTCTTCTAGATGACAGGGAATCCTTCCCTTTGTTACAGCAGCAGTCCGCTAGAAGGTTTTTGTAGGTTTGGAGTTGTTACACATAAAGCGCGGGTTTTATTCCATTTATAGTGATGACATCATTGCCCAAATCTGGGGGTCACCAGCCATTTCTTCTCCCACCCTTTACTCTGGGCTGGGTTATTATTAGACAAACATTTGTATATTGTGCCCTCACTGCTTCCCTCACCCCTCTATGGCCACCCAACCACCTCCTCCTATTACTCCACTCTCCCACTGACCCAAACACCTCCACTAGTAGTTTTCTCACACTCCTGCACATCCCGCTCCCATGCACCTTCCTCACCCTTCTCCTCCTCCTAACCGCGAAGGGGAGACATTTCTCCCCAAATCCTGGCCCTCCATCACATCCCTCACCCACACAACACCCTCCCGCCTCCACGTCCTGCCGCAACCCACCGCAACTTAGTATCTGTGTCCCCCTGCTCCCTAAAATCTCTCCCCCCGTTTTCATGCGCACTCCTGAAACGCATCCGATCTGTGTGCAACAAGCTTAAAACCCCCGCCATCCACGACCTCTTTGTTTCCCGCTCCTCTAAACCTCCTAGCGATCACGGACTAAACCTGGATCCAGCCCACTGACTCTACCTCCCCTGCTGCACTCTCCTACGGAGGTCTCACCTGGACCCACTTCACCCAGGCCCAACGTCGTAAAGGTGGTGGGGTTGGCCTGCTCCTGTCACCGCAGAGCACCTTCCGAGTCCTCCCAAATACCCCCTCCCTATCCTTCGAGGCCCACTGCGTCCGACAATTCTCACCAACCCCCCTGAAGATTGCTGTGATATACCGGCCTCCTGGATCCATATCCCTCTTCCTGGATGACTTCTCCTCCTGGCTACCCTTCTTCCTCTCCTCTGAGCTAACCACCATCATCCTTGGGGATTTCAACATCCCTGTCAACCTTGACAACTCCGGCCACATCCCATCTCCTCCACTTAAATCTCCTCCTTTGCACTTGCACAGTGCATACAATCCACCACCCACTCCAACGGTAATATTCTTGATTTTGTCTTCTCCAACCGCTGCGCTTCCCCACAACCTCACTAACACCCCCTTTCCTCTCTCTGACCACAACCTGATCACCTTCTCTATCTCCTCATCCTCCAACACCTACCCCTCCAAATGTCACACACTACTACCAGCCGTAACCTCCGCAACCTTAACCCTGCCCCCTCCACTCTGCAGATGATCAACTCCATGACAGCATCCTCCCCCTGTCCTGCCCCGACTCTGGCTATGACTGCCTACAACAACGCGCTGTCAACAGCCCCTTGACTCACTAGCGCCTTTAACCACACCACGCAACATCAGACCCCGACCGCTCCAGCCCTGGCAGACTGATCACACCAAAACCCCCTCAAACGACACAGTCGTGCCCGGGAGCGACTATGGCGCAAAACCAAATCCCAACAAGCCTTCACCCGCTACAAATCTGCCATTCCGCACCTACACCTCCTCCCTCCACGCAGCCAAACAAGCCTACTTCCTGACCCTCATCAAGGCCCTCTCCTCCAATCCTCGCCGACTCTTCTCCACCTTCAACTCTCTACTCTCTCCACCCCCACCTCCACCCAGCACCTCACTCACCGCCCTTGAGATTGCCAATCACTTCAAAAACAAGATTGACACAATTCGCAAGGACATTGCCGCAACTCACACGCCCTCTCAACCCGTCCCTCTCACACAGCTAACCCCTCATCCCCCCTCTCCCTCGACATAACCCGCAGGGACTTCATCGCTGCTCAAACTCCCTCCAACCCCCTTCTTCCTCACTCAACTACTCCCTCATCACCCCTCTCCCACGGCCCCACCACTGCTCTGACCTCCACTTCCACCCCGCCCCTACATTCCTCATATTGAAGCCCCCCAACACTCCGCACCTTTGACCTTACCACCATCAAGGAAGTCTCCAAGATCCTCTCTGATGCCCGCCTCACCACCTGCCCCCTTGACCCTATCCCTTTACAACTCCTACGACCTCCCCTCCCCCTCCATCCTACGCTCCCTCAGCCACATCTTTAATCTCTCCCTCTCCTCCTACACTTTCCCCTCCCCTCTGAAACATGCACACATCACCCCCATACATAAAAAAGCCCCTCCCTGGACCCCAATGACCCGAACAACCTCAGACTCCATCTCCCTGCTCCCATTTACATCTAAACTCCTCAAGCGCCTAGTCTACACCCGCCTATGCTCTCACCTCAACGACAAAAACCTCCTCGATCCCCTACAGTCCCGGCTTCCATCCGCCCTACACTCCACCGAAACCGCCTTACTCAAACTCTCCAACAACCTGCTAACCGCCAAAGCTAATGGCCACTATTCAGTGCTCCTACTCCTTGACCTCTCTGCGGCCTTTGACACAGTCGACCACCCCCTCCTCCTCAAAAAACTACACTCCCTCGGCCTCAGAGATTCTGCTCTCTCCTGGCTCTCATCCTACCTGTCACAACGCTCTTTCAGCGTTACCTATAATGCTACCACCTCCCCTCACTCCCCCCCTCTCTGTTGGGGTCCCTCAAGGCTCTGTCCTCGGGCCCCTTCTCTTCTCCATCTACACCTCCTCCCTTGGCCAACTCATACACTCTCACGGCTTCAACTACCACCTCTATGCCGACGACACACAAATCTATCTTTGAACCCCCCACCTCACACCCCTCGGTCTCTGCCCGAATCACACACCTACTGAGCGACATATCAGACTGATGTCGCTCCACTTCCTTAAACTTAACCTCTCCAAAACCGAGCTCCTTGTCTTCCCCTCAGCCCGGACACCACCCCCCATTGACTTCTCCATCACATCCAACAATGCCACCATAAAACCCGCCCCGCAGGCCAGAGTACTGGGTGTCATTCTGGACTCCAACCTATCCTTCCAGCCCCAAGTCCAATCTTTAACAAACTCGTGCAGACTCCACCTCCGCAACATCGCCAAAATCCTCACGTTCCTAACCCCAGAAACCACTAAACAGCTCATCCACTCCCTCATCATATCACGACTCGACTACTGCAACTCCCTCCTCACTGGCCTGCCTCGCCGCTATCTATCCCCGCTTCAGTCCATCCTGAATACGGCTGCCAGACTCATTCACCTTTCCAACCGCTCCATCTCCGCCACCCCCCCCCTGCCAATCCCTCCACTGGCTTCCGATTGCGCAATGGATCAAATTCAAAATCCTAACACTGACGTACAAAGCTGTCCACCATACTGCCCCGAACTACATCACTGACCTAATATCCAATTACCGCCCAGCACGCACACTCCGCTCCTCACAAGACCTCCTTCTGTCTAGTTCCCTGGTCTCCTCCTCCCATGCCCGCCTCCAGGACTTCTCCAGGTGTCACCCATCCTCTGGAACTCCCTGCCCCAACCCATCAGATTATCACCTACTCTCCTCTCTTTTAGGCGCACCCTGAAAACCCATCTCTTCAGGGAAGCCTACCCCACCCCCTGCTAACTTGCCGACCTCCTCCACTCTTCCTACCCCTCCATCCCCCACAGCTATCTCCTCCTGTGCCACCATCCCCCTCCCTCCTAGATTGTAAGCTCAAAAGAGCAGGGCCCTTGATCCCCTCATGTTTTGCATTGTATTGGTATTGTTCTGTCACATGTTCTGTCCCCCTTTGTAATGTACAGCGCTGAGCAAACTATTGGCGCTTTATAAATACTGTATAATAATAATAATAATAATAATTTATATAGTGCCAACAGTTTCCTCGGTGCTGTACAATATAAGGGGGACGGTACAATTACAACACATTTCAGTACAGAAGGAATAGGAGGGCCCGGCTCGTACAGTTCTTAGGTGGAGGTGGGGTAGGCTTCCCTGAAGAAGTGAGTTTTCAAAGATCGCCTAAAGGCAGACAGGGTGGAGGCTGACCTAACATACTGCAGTAGGGAGTTCCAGAGGACAGGAGAGGCTCTGGATAAGTCCTGGAGGTGAGTGTAGGAGGAGGAGACGAGGGAGCTAGAGAGCAAGATGTCTTGGGAGGAGCGGAGCCAGCGATATCTCTGGATGAGGTTGGTGATGTAGCTAGGGGCAGTGTTGTAGATAGCTTGGTGTGCTGTGCTTAGTATTTTGAATTGTATACATTGGGTTAGTGGAAGCCAATGAGGGGATTGGCAGAGAGGGGTGGAGGAACACTGAATGGAGGCCAATGAAGGGATTGGCAGAGAGGGGTGGAGGACACTTAATGGAGGCAGTGGAGGAATTGCAGGGAGGGGTGGAGGACACTGAATGGAGGCCAAAGAAGGGATTGGCAGAGAGGGGTGGAGGACACTGAATGGAGACCAGTGAAGGGATTGGCAGAGAGGGGTGGAGGACACTGAATGGAGGCCAGTGAATGGATTGGCAGAGAGGGGTGGAGGACTCTGAATGGAGACAAGTGAAGGGATTGGCAGAGAGGGGTGGAGGACTCTGAATGGAGGCCAGTGAAGGGATTGGCAGAGAGAGGTGGAGGACACTGAATAGAGGCCAGTGGAGGGATTGGCAGAGAGGGGTGGAGGACACTGAATGGAGGCAAGTGGAGGGATTGACATAGAGGGGTGGAGGAACACTGAATGGAGACAAGTGAAGGGATTGGCAGAGAGGGGTGGAGGACTCTGAATGGAGGCCAGTGAAGGGATTGGCAGAGAGAGGTGGAGGACACTGAATGGAGGCCAGTGGAGGGATTGGCAGAGAGGGGTGGAGGACACTGAATGGAGGCAAGTGGAGGGATTGACAGAGAGGGGTGGAGGACACTGAATGGAGGCAAGTGGAGGGATTGACAGAGAGGGGTGGAGGACACTGAATAGAGGCAAGTGTAGAGATTTGCAGAGAGGGGTGGAGAACACTGAATGGAGCCCAGTGGAGAGATTTGCAGAGAGGGGCGGAGAACACTGAATGGAGGCCATTGGAGGGATTGGCAGAGAGGGGTGGAGGACACTGAATAGAGGCAAGTGGAGGGATTGGCAGAGAGGGGTGGAGGATACTGAATAGAGACCAGTGAAGGGATTGTCAGAGAGGGGTGGAGGACACTTAATGGAGGCAAGTGGAGGGATTTGCAGAGAGGGGTGGAGGACACTGAATGGAGGCCAGTGGAGGGATTGGCAGAGAGGGGGGGAGGACACTTAATGGAGGCAAGTGGAGGATTTGCAGAGAGGGGTGGAGGACACTGAATGGAGGCCAGTGGAGGGATTGGCAGAGAGGGGTGGAGGACACTTAAGGGAGGCAAGTGGAGGGATTTGCAGAGAGGGGTGGAGGACTAGTATGAGTCTAGCAGCAATCGCTGATCAGTTGGTAAGGTGTAAGAGTCTAGCAGCAGTCACTGATCGGTCGGTAAGGTGTATGAGTCTAGCGGCAGTCACTGATCGGTCGGTAAGGTGTATGAGTCTAGCAGCAGTCACTGATCGGTTGGTAAGGTGTATGAGTCTAGCAGCAGTCGCTGATTTGATGGTAAGGTGTATGAGTCTAGCAGGAGTCGCTGATCGGTTGGTAAGGTGTATGAGTCTAGCAGCAGCATTCATAATAGACTGAAGGGGGGATAGCCTGTGTAATGGTAGACCAGTGAGGAGGGAGTTGCAGTAATCGAGGCGGGATATAACCAAGGCGTGGATAAGTTGTTTTGTGGTGTCATTGGTCAGGATGGGGTGGATTTTGGAAATGTTCCGGAGGTTGATCGGTTAGTAAGGCGTATGTGTCTAGCAGCAATCGCTGATTGGTTGGTAAAGTGTATGAGTCTAGCAGCAGTCGCTGATCGGATGGTAAGGTGTATGAGTCTAGCGGCGCAGTCGTTACTCAGTTGATAAGGTGTATGAGTCTAGCAGCAGTAGCTGCTGATCGGTCCGTAAGGTGTATGAGTCTAGCGGCAGTCGCTGATTGGTTGGTAAGGTGTATGAGTCTATCAGCAGTCGCTGATCGGTTGGTAAGGTGTATGAGTCTAGCAGGAGTCGCTGATCGGTTGGTAAGGTGTATGAGTCTAGCAGCAGCATTTATAATAGACTGAAAGGGGATAGCCTGTGTAATGGTAGACCAGTGAGGAGGGAGTTGCAGTAATCGAGGCGGGATATAACCAAGGCATGGATAAGTTGTTTTGTGGTGTCATTGGTCAGGGTGGGGTGGATTTTGGAAATGTTCCGGAGGTTGATCGGTTGGTAAGGCGTATGTGTCTAGCAGCAATCGCTGATCGGTTGGTAAGGTGTATGAGTCTAGCAGCAGTTGCTGATTGGATGGTAAGGTGTATGAGTCTAGCAGCAGTCGCTGATTGGTTGGTACTGTGTATGAGTCTAGCGGCAGTCTCTGATCGGTCGGTAAGGTGGATGATTCTAGCAGGAGTCCCTGATCGGTTGGTAAAGTGTATGAGTCTAGCAGCAGTCACTGATAGATTGGTAAGGTGTATGAGTCTAGCAGCAGTCGCTGATTGGATGGTGAGGTGTATGAGTCTAGCAGCAGACGCTGATCGGTTGGTACGGTGTATGAGTCTAGCGGCAGTCATTGATCGGTTGGTAAGGTGTATGAGTGCAGCGGCAGTCGCTGTTCGGTTACTAAGGTGAATGAGTCTAGCGGCAGTCGCTGATCGGTTGGTAAGGTGTATGAGTCTAGCAGCAGTCGCTGATCGGTAGGTAAGGCGTATGAGTCTAGCAGCAGTTGCTGATAGGTTGGTAAGGTGTATGAGTCTAACAGCAGTCGCTGATCGGTTGGTAAGGAGTATGAGTCTAGCGGCAGTCCCTGATCGGTTGGTAAGGTGGATTAGTCTAGCAGCAGTCGCTGATCGGTTGGTAAGGTGTATGAGTCTAGCGGCAGTACTGATCGGTTGCTAAGGTATATGAGTCTAGCAGCAGTTGCTGATCGGTTGGTAAGGTGTACGAGTCTAGTGACAGTCACTGATCGGTTAGTAAGGTGAATGAGTCTAGCGGCAGTCGCTGATCGGTTGGTAAGGCGTATGAGTCTAGCAGCAGTCGCTGATTGGTTGGTAAGGTGTATGAGTCTAGCAGCAGTCGCTGATCGGTTGGTAAGGTGTACGAGTCTAGCAGCAGTCACTGACTGGTTGGTAAGGTGTACGTGTCTAGCAGCAGTCGCTGATTGGTTGGTAAGGCGTATGAGTCTAGCAGCAGTCGCTGATTGGATGGTAAGGGTGTATGAGTCTAGCAGCAGTCGCTGATTGGATGGTAAGGTGTATGAGTCTAGCAGCAGTCGCTGATCGGTTGGTAAGGTGTATGAATCTAGCAGCAGCATTCATAATAGACTGAAGGGGGATAGCCTGTGTACCGGTAGACCAGTGAGGAGGGAGTTGCAGTAATCGAGGCGGGATATAACCAAGGCGTGGATAAGTTGTTTTGTGGTGTCATTGGTCAGGATGAGGCAGATTTTGGAAATGTTCCGGAGGTTGAGGCGTCAGTATTTAGCCAGTGAGTGGATGTGGGGCCCAAAGGAGAGGTCATAGTCTAGGATTACACCTAGCACCCTGGCATGAGGGGAAGGACTAATGGTTGTGCTGTTGATCTTGATGGTAAAGTCATGAGTGGGGGATTGGGGATTGGAAAGATTGAGTCTAAGGTAGTGATGTGACATCCATGCTGATATGTCGCTCAGTAGATTTGTGATACGTGAGGAGATTGAGGGGGTGAGCTGGGGAGTGGAGAGATAGATCTGGGTGTCATCAGCATAGAGGTGGTATTGGAAGCCACGGGAGGTTTATCAGTTAGCCCAGGGAGGAGGTATAGAGAGAGAAAAGGAGGGTACCCCCAAGGACAGAACCTTGGGGTACCCCAATGGAAAGGAAGAGGAGCGGAGGAGGGGGAGTATTTTTTTATGTGACACTGAAAGTGCCCTGCAGGAGTAAATTGGATCGTGCTTTGCTGGGTTTTTTTGCCTTCCTCTAGATCAACTGTGGGTATAGAATTATGCAATCTTCTGATACATTCTCAACATTCCTTCTTGATCTTAGATCCTTCTCCATAGCTTTAGGATGCTCAGGCAATATCATACTCAAACGGCTCCAAGTACAAGGCCCTCCAGTAATATTGCCTGGAATATATGAATATGTGGGATTTCCACAAGAAAACAACCATCCTAAAGGTAGTGTGACATGCTTACTGTGGTGGAACCGTTCCGCCTGGGCTTCCTTGTGCGGAGCGATGCATCTCAGCCATCCCCTTGTCCTGCAAGTCTTCCAGTGCTCTGCCAAGGCAGGTATTAGAGCTCAAAGACAATCCCTCCCCAATATCCCAGACCACGAGTCAGAACTTCGTGTAGGATGAAAATGACTCAATCTTTATTAAACACAGCTCAGTATATACAACTTCACCCCCCCACCCCACCAGACAGCCTGGGCACCGGGTTTTCCCCACCCACAACAAACCCTACAACCCAACAATACAGTATGAACTCTATTAGAAGTGAAAGACTACAAGGTCACATTTCCCTAAACAGTGTAGAATGTCTGTCTACATACAAGCTGCTAAATATATACAGCTTTACCAAGGGGAAAAAACTGAAACAGAAAGGACAAAATGTTATCACAAAGGGACGGTTCGTCACAAGGCTCCCCCGTTGTGTAACACACCCAGACCCGGTGAGACCTTCAAACAGGTCTGCTTGGGGCTGGTCGGTTAAAAGGGTTACTTCTCCAACTTGGCTTGCCAGGGCAACCCATCCACATTGGCGTTTTGCTTCCCCGGTCGGTACTGTATTGTAAAGTTATAGGGTTGGAGGGCCAAGCTCCACCACAGCAGATGACCATTGTCCCCGGAGACCCAGTTTAGCCATACCAGGGGGTTGTGATCGGTGAGTATGGTAAAGGAGCACCCATACAGGTAGGGCTGCAATTTATTGAGGGCCCATACCAAGGCAAGACACTCTTTCTCCACAGCAGCATAGGCCACTTCCCGGGGTAACAACTTTCTACTTAGGTAGGCCAATGGATGGTCGTTCCCATCATCTCCGATTTGGCTCAGAACAGTGCCCAATCCAAAGGTGGAGGCATCTGTGTAAACACAAAACCGTTTGGAAGGGTAAGGAGCAGCCAAATTGGGAGCATGGATCAGGTCATGTTTGAGCTCTTGGAAAGCTGTTTCACACTCTGGGGACCACACAACCTGTCGGGGCAGATTCTTCCGGTCAGATCCGTTAGGGGTTTAGCAATGGCACTGTAGTTGGGGATGAATTTACGGTAGTACCCCGCAGTGCCTAGGAAGGCAAGGACCTGGGTCTTGGTTTGGGGGTGGGCCAATTTGCTACCGCTTCCACTTTTGCCGCTGCTGGTAGTTGCTTCCCACATCCTACCCGATGTCCTAGATATTGAACCTCAGACACCCCAACATGGCAACTGTCAGGTCAGATGGTCAGTCCTGCTTGCCTAATGCAATCAAGCACTTCCCTGAGGTGTCGGAGGTGATCCTCCCAACTATCACTGTAGATAGCTATATCATCTAGATAGGCACAGAAGTCCTGCAGCCCATCCAGCAGCTTATCTACCATTCTCTGAAAGGTAGCCGGGGCGTTCTTCATCCCAAACGGCATGACCCTGGACTGGTACAAGCCGAACGGGGTGATAAATGCCGACTTTGGTACCACATCCGCATCCAGCGGAATCTGCCAGTACCCCCTGCAGAGATCGATAGTGGTAAGAAAATTACCTCTGGTCATCCGGTCCAGCAGCTCGTCTATCCGGAGCATGGGGTATCGGTCACGGTCCGGTCATTGAGCCTGCGGTAGTCCACACAGAACTGGAAGGTTCCATCCTTCTTGGGTACCAGGACTACTGGGGAGGCCCTTCAGGGAGGCCTGACCCTGCATGTCTACCCGGAGGGCAGTTGTGGTGGTGTAACTGGGCAGATGAGAACAGCCCTCGGTGCTCTTGGAGCAGTTGGCAGGCCTGTTCCTGTGCCTTGGAGGCATGGGAGGCAGCCATGTGCTGATATCTACATCCCCTACACTCAGCTGGGACTGTCCATCCCCCGGAAGCCCCAGCAGAAGAAGCGTTTTTCTGAGTCATCGGTAGCCGGAGCGCAAATAACAGCTACATTGTCCTGTCGTTCAATGAACGGTTTCAGCATATTCACATGGAAGGTTTGCCAGATCCTTCCATCCGAACAGCGAGCTACAATGTACGTGGTATCACAGATGTGCTCCACCAATTGGTACGGGCCCTGCCAGGCAGCCTGTAATTTGTCATGCCTGACTGGTTTCAAGGCCAACACTTTCTGTCCTAAGTGAAACGTTCAGTCTTGGGCAGATTGGTCGTACCACCGTTTCTGTCAGCTCTGGGCGGCCTCAAGGTTGTCTCGTACTAGGGTCATCAACCGTTGTAGCCTTTCCCTGACCTCCAGCACATAGGCCACCACCGAGGTCCCCTCCTTGGCCAC